GGTCATTTTGAGTAGAATGTCAGATCGCATGTCAGCTTTAATGCACATTTGCCCATCGCTGCTTATGAGTTTTCAGAACTGCACAAAGGCGCTAACAGAACGCCAAAGAAGATGAACAGTTGGCATCCAAATTACACATGCATCAGTCTCAAAACGGCAATATTACAACATTTTAAGTAATGAAGGAAAGAGTATTGAAGAGTGACAGAGACAACAATCTGAGCAATGAACAGGTTTCAATGAAACATTTGAATGTTTGCATTTTCTTATATTGACTATATTAAACAGCACAGTGGATTCAAAATTATTATGAAGTCCTAATTTTAATTACAAGGTCCTTAATTGTAGTGTCATTCATATTGCTTGAACAGGATGGGAATTGTGGTCCTGTCATTTTCCTGCTTCTCCGTTCAAAAACCTGAGAGACTGTGTATACATGCAGGTCTGATTCCTACGCCCAAGTGTGGAGGTTAATTTGCTCAAACATATGTAAAACTGAAAGTCAGCAGTTTAATCTCTGTTGTTGTTTTATTTCTAGTCCATTTGCTGGAGTACAGAGCCAGAACAACAGAAAATGTGCCACCGCCCAGATACTTACAAACTGCACTGTACAAAGCTACTGCCCTAGTAATAATTGTGCAATTGAATCACTGCCTCTGTGCCAGTGTCTTAGTAAAAAGCACACCGAGAGCCACACACAGCTGGTATTTTGGCAGCGATTTCCTTTGGAAACCACTTGTATTCAAGGCCAGTGCATAAACACACAGGAGAATTAAACCCAGACCTTTGAACAATAAAAAAGCAACATGATCGTGCTTTACTCTTTTCCAGTAGGTTCGGGTTTTTGTTTGGATGGAGTTCAAGGATGCCTTCAGCCCAGCGTGATTTGCTGATAGCTATAAAATATTCTGATGAATATGTAATATCATGGACTTAAGGCATCTTACAGCCTTCAGCACTCCCTCCTTTATGGACTTCAGGATGACAAACTCTCCATACAGTATGAACAGCTGAACAAAGGATTTCATACATAAATGATGTAAGACAAGGCCTTTGTAAATACTTCCAGTGATCTAAACATAATGAATGGACATTTATTTATGGACCACTGAGCTCAGACATAAATTCTGCCTGTGTAATAACCCAAAGAGTATTTAAGCTGATTGTCAATGCAAGTGGAGTACTAGTGATTTGCTGGCTGAGACTGTACATTACATTTAGTCACTGGCAAGCAATCATTAAGACACCAAGAGTCAGCGGTCGTATATACAGACTTCAACTTCTTTGTATTGTGAAATCTAAAATGGGCTTTGCAGTATCAGGAAAAACTCATTCAATTACATCACAAGTACTACCCTCGGGTCCAACAAGTCAACAAGTTGGAAAGGTGGGCTGGGTATCATTCTAGTTCCCTTATAAGAAGAAATTTATGTTTGAGGAAGAAAAGTGTGTGTGTGTGTGTGTGTGAGAAAGAGCAGGCAGAGACAGATTTCATCAGGACAGAATAGTGATGCGCCACCCCACACTCCATACTGCCTCTATAAAAGCTATTATTTTTCAGCAGCGGAAAGGTTGGGCACAACAATAACAACAAGAGAATAATGGAAATGGAGAAATTCACAGAGACCTGGAAGAATAATGAAAGTGCAGAATTCTTATTGAGACAATAGTGCACTAGAAAGGCTAAATTAAACACACCCACATTCTCTCTGACTCACTCTCATCCTCTCAGATATACATACACACACACACGCACACACACAATGTACTGCTAGAAGGCAATCTTTAAGAATGTAGAATAGAAAAGCTTCATTCTAGCACACCTGCCAGTGCGTAGCCACTAGCTTGATGAAATAGCAGGTGCTAAGCTCTGAAGGCCTTTGGATATTTTACATGATGGCCTGCACTTCCTGTCCCATTGATGTCGTGCTTCTCTCTGCTGTAGTGGGGATCAGGCAGAGGACATGAATGCCATTAGGTGTCAGCCAGGCAGCGAGGCAGCACACACATGCTGATAAGCGTATGTTCATTGTATAAGCCATGGCTAGCTCAAATGTCCTACATAGAAAATTAGAATTTGGAGTTTTTTTGTTTTTTTTTTTTACTTGCTCTTGTTTCCTCTAGCTCATTTATGCTGTTTCACAGTTTTTCTTCCTCTGTTCACAGCCATAGTGTTTCTCACAAGGTCAGGTGTGGAGTCTACCCTGCTTCTCCATGCACTGTGCCTCCTGCTCTTCTCCTCTCCTCATTCTGGTTCTCTCTACCTGTACCACCTTCCACCTCTCCATTTTTAGTTTCTCCTTCCGCATCTCACGTGGTCTCCTTTTTTCCACCCGCACTCCTCTTTCTTTTCTAAATGGCTCTTTTTTTGTTCCTCTGTCTTCTATTAACCTTGTGTATAGTGCACACTGTCTCCCCGTCATGATCCTCCTCTTCTTTCAGCGCCCTCTTTTCGCTCCCTCTTTCACTCTCTATTCCTGGCACTGAATTCTCCTCACACCCTTTCATCCCCACTTTTATTGCCTCCCCCTCCACATGCTCTCATCCGCCATCAATTTGGCGTTCCCAGGCTATCTCTCATCTTCTCCTTTCATCCTCCCATCCTCTGAGCACACTTCCTTTCCTCTTTCTATCCCAATTCATTTTCATCTTTGCATTCGGCTAGTGGGAAATATGGAAAGGTCAGTGTGACCAGGCGTGGGATCAGAGAAGACTTTGTTAATATGGCAGGGCTGTCACAGCACCATCAGCATAGTTTGTGTGTGTGTGTGCGCCCGCGCATACACATCACGTGGGTGTTAAAGACATTGTGATAGGTGACGGTACTTATGATGGTGACATCTGACTTCTTGAGGATGTTGAAGAGGGCACATGTATTTGTTTGCTCATGCGTTTGATTTGATGGTGTTTCTTTTATCACCTGCAGGCAGCTGAGCTATGGTGACACAAGGCTTCTGTTCTCACTCTCCTCCCCTCCAACTCTCTGTCTCTCCCTCCAACTCTCTCCCTCTCTTTTCTTCTCAGTCTTACCCTTGAACCATCTTTTATTCTCTAATTCCCTTAGTTCCTGCCTCTCTCCACCTCTCATCTTTCCCTTCTATTTCATGTGACCAGTTCTTTCTAAATATTTATACTGATAATTACTATTTCAATTGCAACCTTGCCTCAGCATTTCCGAAAGACCAATGTGGCCACGAACGTGTGCACACATACACACGGTGACTTTTTCATCACTGTCTGCCTTTCTGAGCCTCCAAGTCTTCAGGACTGGGGTTTGGGGACCATCATGGAGGATAAGGGCAGGCAGTCGTTGCATGTGTTGTGTGTAATATTTGTATCCCTAGGGTTGTTTGGTCTCATATGGTCACCTTGTCTCTCATCTGAGCTCTGGCAGCAGCTGACCTGTGCTGACTCTCCTCTTATTGCGTCCGAATGACAGACTAGCTCAGCTCTGCTCTGCATTATGTGCAGAGACAACAGCCATGCATGTGTTTGTGTGAATTTGCATGTGAACACACAATAAATCTGAAGCAGAGTAACTTGTATTCAGTGCGCCATTGTGTAATGACCTCTGACATGTCAAGGTGACTTGGTCCATACACTCTAATCAAGACAAGTAATCAAGGGTTTCAATAACCTGTTGTTCCTTTTTGTTCTCCTCTGCTCCATCCTTTTATAACCAGAGTACAACTCCTATTCCCAAAGCTAATTTGTGGTTAGTCCGGCTAGTTCAGGTGGACTGACAGGCGTGCGGTTTGACTCACCCTGAGTGCTACAGACATTTGAAAGCTCACAGGCTAGGAGCTGGACAATAAAGCTGTCATGAGATGTACAGTATATGTGTATATATCTGTGCACACATGTTCACTTATGCGTATCCTAGATTTGGGGGGAAAAAAGAGCAAGTTGTTTCTCTCACCAGCCCAATAAGGCTCTGTGCTGTTCCCATTGGCCGCTTAGTGGTTGTCCAAAGGTTCCTCGGTGGCTACAAGGGGGTTGTTTTGTGGTTGTAAATTGGGTTGGTCCTGGGAGAGCTGGTGTTATTCTAGGAAAGGCTTGTTTTCCTCTACTTTCCCACTTGTCTTATGCTCATTCCTTCATCTTCTCTTCCACTGTATTGATATCTCCGATCTCCCTAGACAAAAGAAAGTGTGGTGTTTATTGCTCATCAGAAGAGAAAGAAAGCATTGCCCTTTTCTCTTGTCTCCTAGTCTACGGGTTTCATGTGTGTATGTTCCATTAAGCCTCCAGATCATATTAGTTTCAACACAACAACTTTGGCTCAGCACAAACTGGTGAAACTAGTTCTGCAAGTAATTGTTTGTCTTTAGGGAAATTTGTTTGTGAGCATAGCTTGCTGGTAAACGCGTTGTGAGCATGCACATTTTAACCCTGGCTGCAGATATTTTCAAGTTCTGTATCTGCAGGTAATCCAGTCTTACTTAAAACAGGTGGCATCTTGCTGACATACACTAATGCCCGCTTACTCATACAAGTAATTACATTTTCACTGAGACCTGGATTACACACACGCACGCACACATACAGGGACAGATTGTTGTTTTAAAGCTCCCTGGCTCTTTTCGTTTCTCACACACCCACTGACACAGCGCACCAAGAAAAGCATATTTATTTTGACTCTTTGCTGCTACACAGGAATGTGTCGGCACAGCAAATGGCAGGCTATAGAAAAGCATAACCCATTCAGATGATTTATGACTTGTGTGCAAAAGAGAACTGGCTTTCGTCGTTCTTTTTTCCAGCACACATCTCCTCATTTTCTTTTTTTTTCAGCCACGCCATCCACACATGCATAGTCATGGAACAATACCAGATTCTTGGGTTCACTAATGCTTTGTTGTACCAGACACTACCACTCTGTCCTTATTCATCATCAGGAGTCTTTGTACAGAAATCTGCTGTGTATTTTTATTGTCTTCTCTTCTTACTTTGGGAATGAAGGAAACAACAAAGGTTATTGTTCCTCTGTTTTCTTCTAGGAGCATCAGGCCAGCGAGTGAAGGTGGAGCCAGAGGTGTTGTCGTATCCCGGACAGACAGTCACCCTGCGCTGTGCCTTCCCTGATTCCACTGGGACTCAGCTCACAATGGTCAGATGCACGTCCTCACGATAAAGTTTTTTTTTTTTTCTTCTACTTTTCAGTTAGGACTTGATTACATCTTAATACCACCACGCTCGGCTCTAAATAGGTGTATGAAATTGTAATAAAAATGTCATTTTTCTGACTTGACACCATACAATTTGTTGAAATTGCTTGGGATAACAATTTGTTTTCACGGTTGAAGTGAACAGACACGGGCTGTTAAGTCATTCACTTTGTTTAATATTTGGCTAAACATGTGGCTCTCTTCCTCTTAAATAAAGTATTTGTCAACTGCGCATCGGCCTGATTCTGCTGGTGTGTGAAACAAGTGAAATAGGAGCAATTCATTGCAATCAAAATAAACATAAAATTATAAGCTCCATGTGCCTTGTTTATTTGGCACATTAAACCTTAATCTAACAAATCATAGCCCCCAGAAATCATCCTGAGGCTAGTAATAGGTTTTTATCACATTCAGGCTTAATGTTTTATTACTCCAAACAAACAATACTAAGCTTCATTTTTTTCTTTAGGGGATTGAATATGGTAATGGGAACACTTCTTAGTTGCATCTCAATGAAGTAGAAAGTGCACAACTCTGCTTGGTTCCGCTAAGAGCAGCTGAGAGGGAGAGAGAGTACTGCTCCTGAAAACCTTACATCCATATTCATACCTGCTCCAGTTATTTGATTGTGATGCTGTGTACGCTGCCCCGTGGAGTTTACAGCAAAATGCAGACATCTTAAAATACTTTCAAGTGTTTATCAATGCGGTGATAAATGAGGCCTGTGGTTTTTCTCAGTCACTGTTTGCATCCTAACCACCCCGCTTCCTGATTCACCACAGGTCACGTGGATTTATGAGCCGAAGGACGGAGAAAGGATCAACATTGCTGTGTTTCATCCCAACTTTGATCCCAACTACCCTGACTCACCCTTGAAAGGGCGGGTTAGCTTCTCACATAATCCCCCAGACATGATGAGCCCCTCCATCCAGATAACCAATGTTGAAATAACCGATGAGGGGAAGTACATCTGTGAATATGCTACGTACCCTGGGGGCAACGAGCAGGGCATCACCTACTTGGTCATGCTAGGTAGGTCGCTAGCATAATCTACACAGTGTTCTTATACAGATCAACACAAATTGAAGGGGAAAAAACCTGACTCTGTGAGTTGAGAAACAGCAAAGCTGGTTTGACGTGTATGGGAGTTAACCATATCATACACGGTATATATAGAGATAGATACAGTCAGGTCCATAAATATTGGGACATCGACACAATTCTAACATTTTTGGCTCTATACACCACCACAATGGATTTGAAATGAAACGAACAAGATGTGCTTTAACTGCAGACTGTCAGCTTTAATTTGAGGGTATTTACATCCAAATCAGGTGAACGGTGTAGGAATTACAACAGTTTGCATATGTGCCTCCCACTTGTTAAGGGACCAATAGTAATGGGACAATTGGCTTCTCAGCTGTTCCATGGCCAGGTGTGTGTTATTCCCTCATCCCAATTACAATGAGCAGACTGTAGATAGATATAAGCTTTGCAAAGACCTGATCTCAAGCCAAAGGGTATTTTGGACATGGGTGAATGTGTTACATGACAAACAGGAGATTCAGTAATATTTGACACAGACTAAGGAGAATAAGCAAAATAAAAAAAAAACAGAGGTGTTTTTTTTCCAGCCTCAAGCTTATGGTTATACATTGAAACTGTATTAGCTGTTGTTTTGTGACACCTCTGCCTGCTCCTGGTGATGGTTTCAAAGTAAAACTCAAGGCATGAAACTGGAACAAATCCTCTGTCCCTGTTTGGAATCCCCTTATCTTGTATGTGATAGACAGTGCCAGACACCACCATGATCAAAATATCTTTTGGAAAAATACTAGTTTTTTGTGCATTATGAGGAGGAGGACATTACATTATGTGTATTGATAAAGGCATTGATGTGAAAATGGAAATGTGAAGGTAATTAGCCAAGAATACTATATTAAAACATCCAAGACATAAAGTAGCTTATTTTAGTTTCCACCGCAGAACTTGGATTGCTATTGGTATACATTAGCTCTACTCTGGTGGGGGTCTTTGAAATACCCAGAAGCTCATGTATTCAGAGTTATGTACCACACTGAGGTGTGGATTTACAGCTCTGTCTGTGTGTCTATGGTAGCACTCAAGCTGTTGAAATGTCTTTGCCAGCATGTGGTTTTGGGTTCAAACTCATTTCAGGTTCCTGCCTCTCAAGGACTTTCAACACTTTTAAATGATCCAGGTTTTTTTGGTTGATCTGATTCTGATCCACTAAATGTTCATTAAATATCTGACATACTGAAATTGAAATGTATCTGGCACACTGTATTTTTTCAGGAGCTCTTTGGTGTAAATACTGTATCAGGCCCTGTTTCCAAAATACTAAGTTTATTAGCTTGAATCATTTTTAGAAACAAAAGAATAATGCGGAACTGCACAACACTCTAAGAACTGCTGATTCATTGCAGGGCAGATACTAACTGCGTGTTCAGTAGGGCAGATGTAACACATGATAGATAATGTGTTTTATTTGTTTTTGCTCGACGTATTTCTGTTCAGGTTGCAACTAGTGATTCTGTGGAGCATATTTCTGAAAAGAAAAAAAAAATAGACCTAAAACTAAAAATAGACTTCAGGTCACAGCTATGCATGATTGATATGCCAGCTAACATGTGGGTAGTTTAGACAGCTGGACTGATTACTATTGCAGCTTAATGGTTGTGCGACATGTGTGTCTCAAATTCAGTAGAGCCTGCTCAAATACAGGACTGTAGTTCTAAATAATGAACGCAAATGGTTTGGCTTTATTCTGGCCAATACCGCTCCTGTGGAAAAATGCCCAGATATCTGTGCTGATACTGATACTCGGTATTGGATCGGGACTTCTCTATATCTCCATCCGCTTAGATCTCTCTTAGCTGTCTTCCTCACCCAAAGGTAGTATGCAGGTTAAAAGCATTATCAGTGGTATTGTCAGATCATTTGTGTTCTGTTAATGCAATAGAACCATTGGTCTAACCTTGGCCCAGCACCAGTGCCTCATCCACACTCTCGTCTCTCTCCAATGCATCATGCCTCCTTGCTTTCCCTCAGGCACTGTATTGATCTGGCTGCTTATCATGCCTGCTGTCAGCGCCTGTCCTTCCCGCTGATCCCACTCTAGTATCAGAGAGACCTATTGAAGATGTATGAGGAGCAAGGTAGAGTAGAGGAGGGGTCAGGGGCTGACAGAGATCATACAGCGATTTAGAATCTGTGTATGGAAATGGGGAGTGGACTAGTCAGGGGAATGGCTTATCACTGACGAGGGATAAGGATATAGACCAAATAGACTAAAGAAATGCAGAGAGAGTGAATGAAGAAATTGGGTTTGGGCGTGTTTACACTGGTGCTTGTAATTGTATATCGGTGTAGACTCTAGAGAGTAAAAGAACATAAGTGGGAGAGAGGGGGAGTTTGGAGATTGTTTTGGATTTGCTTTCACCAGACTGGTGATTTAAATTGTTTATCAATAATGGTGCACATCATCTTTTCTTGTCAGCTGTCTTATTTCCATTTTATCTATTTCTACATCCTTTAATCTTTTCTCTCTTCCTCTCTCCACCCACCCTCCATCTTTTCATCAATTTGTCCATCCGTCAGCTAAGCCTAGCAACTCGGCCTCCGTCACAACAGTGACGGCAGGCACTAAGCCTGTCGTCGTGGCACGCTGCATGTCTGCAAACGGTCGCCCCCCTGCCCAGATCACCTGGGTGACCACAGCCAATGGCAATGCAACAAGCAAGTCTCAGCCAAGTGTCAACAACACTGTGACGGTGAGCAGCGAGTACCTCATGGTTCCCACTCCAAAAGACAATGGGATAGACATCACCTGTGTGGTGGCGCACAGGACCCAGGTCAAACCCGAGAGATTCCCAATGAACCTGGCAGTTCAGTGTAAGACACCATGCACTTATTATTCTCTGAATTGCTGTTCACACTCAAACATAATTTTACACATTGCCCATTTTAGCCCTCAGAGTGATTAACTGAATTCACGGCTATTTGTTTTCTCCTCCCTCACTCTTGCCATTTATCTGTCCTTCCCACAGATGCCCCTTTGGTGTCAATAGAGGGTGACGACAATAATTGGTACATAGGTCGTACAAATGTGGCGCTCACCTGCCAGGCTACCGGAAACCCCGTTCCGACGTCTGTCCAGTGGAAGACGTGAGTATCAGCATATCCTGAAATTTCTGTTTTATCATCTCTTACCCCCCCCACATCTCTTGCTTTCTTTCTCTTTTGTCCTCTCATTTTCCCTTCCTTACCCTCATTCCCAGATCCACAATTCTCACAGTGCAGTAATCAGCACTTTCATTATTGCCACTACAGCCCTCTGCTCTGATTATGGAGATAGCTGTATAATTTCTCATAATGGACTCTGTGACTCAAGATTTAACCCTCGCATAATGAGAAACACAATATGACTCCCTCTCCCTTTTTTCATTATTATCAGCTATTAACATAACTGTGACGAAATTTGGAAAAAAAAGGTCTGGAACTTTTAAATGGAAGAGATGAGATTTTGGGCATGGATCCAGCATCTTTGATTTTCTTTCTGTCCCCATCATGTTTTCCTCTGCTGTGTGATAATGAATTCCTTTTGAGAAAGGGGGAAACCGATTGGTTCTGCACTGCCAATCAAGATTAGCCGAATAGCATTACACAATTCTGGAAATGTGCATCTGTCTTAATGAGCTCATTGTGCCTAGAGTCAAACAAACCTCTTTTTCCTCTTTGACCTTCTCCCTTTTCCTTCTCACATGCCAATATATTCATGTCCCTGCAGAACTTCAGGAGTGACGCCAGACACGGTGCAGATCACAGGCAACGTGCTGAAGGTACTGAAGGTGGATGATAATATCAACACCACTTTTGTCTGCGAGGCCAATAACAGCATAGGCGTCGGCAGGAATCAGGCCACGCCCTTGCTCAGAGGTGAGTTGAAGGGCAAACCACAACACATGTACAGTACACTAAGAAGTATAAATACATAGCGAATGGTCCATAAGAAGGAGGTCAGATAACATCTAAAAATCTACTTGCTTGGAGTACAACGTGTGGTCACAAAAGAAACTAACACAAGTGTCATTCTTGTGCACTTCTCTCTAATATGATGAATTGGCATCAGAATTGTTCCTGTCATTACAAATTCACCCATCTGCAGCTCTTAAGTAGGTAGAAACCAAGATAAAGTGTAATGTGCACAAGTTGCAAATGTCCCAACTCACTGATAAATTGTTCAGAGTAAATGTGTCAATGAAGCAGTGAGCACTTCAGAAGTGAAATGAAACGCATGCTCGGTGCTCACTTGTGTCTCATCCATCATCTGAACCTTCCCCTGGCTCGTGTATGAAAATGGTTTAATCTTTTGAACTGATTAACTGGAGCCAAGTGCACTTTCATCACACATGTTACATATTTTCTGGTGTACTGTGCTCTCATGTCTTCTCCTGGGACTTAACTCATTCTGCTTCAGATGTCTCTCTCACACACACACACACACACACACACACACACAAACACACTCACACACACACACTCACATTCACTGTGCTGAGGACTGTCTTGGGTGTGTAGCACAGGGCTAGAGGGTCCAGCTACTCTGTCCATTTTGTCTACAGGATGTATGTGTGACTGCTTCAGAGAGGGAATGTTTGTGTATTTGCTTGCTTTTGGTTGCTGCAATTCAACTTCTCATCCCTCTCTTTCTCTGCATGTCACTTTTCTGTCTCTCTCTGCATGCTCTCAGTAAAACTGTATTATCAGAGCTTCTTTGCCTCAGTGGTACCGAAGGTCTGGATATATGCTTTTGTACCTCAGATTGCACTGGCAGAGCAGTTTTCCACAAGGTTTCTAGTGGTAGTTCACACTGAGTCTTGTACATCGAAATAAAATGGTCCTTTTCTTCTATTTTCCAAAAAGAGAGATAGAGAGAGAGCAGTTGTCCCCCCTAAAATCATAATCATAACAGCTTCTCAGCAGCACCCCTGACCATCAGTAACCTCAGTGATGCTGTTTGAATTTATAATGAAGTGGATTTCACTGTTGCCTTGTGTTCAGCTGAGACCTGTGCTGATGCACTCTGTGCATTTGCAACATTATATTTATATGTACAATATATAACAGTGCATAGATATACAATATATACAATATTCAACAATAAGCAACACAATATACAACATATACCCCTGGTAAATATGACTACAGTGTTGGGTAATAACAAGTGGCATATAATTAAAATTGTATTTGTTTTTAGCTGAAGCTCAAGAAGATTAAAGCCACTTAATTTAAAACAGAAATGTTTGACTAATTAAACTATAATGAAAGGTTTGTATTTAAAAACCAGCTGCAAGAAAAATCAATAAACCCTCATTAGTGAGATTCCATTTGCCTTATTTTTTTATGACCGTCTGATCCTCTGGGGCATGGATGACACCAGTCTTGCACAAATCTGTGGAGACTTGTTCTGCCATTTTTTGCTGATGACTCTTTTTGGTTGCTTTTTGCCAGAGAGGTTTTGTTGCTTGACCTTGAGCCATAAAATACCTCAAAGATGTTCTGTGGATTCAGGTCAGGGGAAATCTTGGCCAGGTCATCATTTTCACATTTTACTTCCTCAAAAACTCTTGTGTGATTTTTTTGTGTGTTTGGGGTCATTGTTTGGGAAATTCTTCTCCTGCCAAGCCTTTGGAGACTGGGTATCGTATTTTCATTCAGTATTTGTGGAGACAAACCTGCATTCATAGGGCTGTCTTTAAATGTTTTGCCCTCTACACCTTTTACACTCATGCAGCTCCATATCAGCATCTCAATGTTTCACCTGGCCAGGTCCATGCCCAACATGATGGACCCCTTCTGATCTAAGTAAATGTATTTTGTTTTCACTTGGCCTGCTGCCAGTTTTCATCAGACCTCTTGTCGTGTTCTTTGACAAAGTTTAATCTTGCACGTTTTCAGTTACTAAAAAACCAATTTTCACAAATAATCCTTGTGTCAAGTCAGAAGCATTTGCCAATGTGTTTTTCAATGCGAGATTGTATAAATGGTGACTTGTATGTGGCAACATTTTTAGAGGAAAGCCACTGTGCTGTCTGTTATTGGTAGCAGGGCTCTCTTTATTCCTCTTAACCACAGTTGCAGCTGTGTTTCTGCCTAAGTTCAGTAGCAGAAGCTTTTTTCCTGCCCTCTCCCATTGTTGTGAAGTCTCACAATCTGTTAGCTGTACTTGTGGAAATTCCTTACTACTGTGGAGCCATGTTGGATTAGACACAACCAAGGCCAGAAATGAGAAAGCTGTGGTGTCCACAGGTTCCTTCATCACCTTTTTCAAGTAATTAGCCTTAATTACAAATGACAGATGCCACAATTTTTGTTGCATTGAGGTTTGAGGCCTGTAATTTTCACTGTAGTGTTTGTAATTGTACGAGATGAACCTCAACTTAAAAACAAAACAAATATTATAAGGCACTATATTTTTGAATTATTTGTGTTTTTGTGATATTGCATGACCAGTATTTAGCTTTGCTGTAAATTGTTTGTATTCAGGTGTACGTATCGGTGTGTAGCTTGTTGTACCATCTCAGGTCTGTGAGTCAAACTGTCCAGAACAGTGCCAGTAAAGTTGGAATGCAGTCCGTTCCCTTCTGTTCCTCAATAGCTGCACCACTAAACAGGGTTCACTTCTGCATTTCACCTCATACAAGATACATGTCCTTCCACTCTTCTGGATGCCAGCACTTAACTGGAAGTACATTTTTGCTGACATGGGGGTAAACCTAGTTCATAATGCAGAAAAAGTACATTTCTCTGGTGACTGTGTTTTAAGAGCCACCCAGCTCCTTCATGCCCTCATTTTCTTTCTATTTTTTTCTTGTCCTCTTACTTAGTCTCTCCTTATTGCGCTATTTTTCTTTCTTTCTCTTTGCCTCCCCATCTTTCTTCAAGTCCCCTGGCTCCTTATGGTGCCACGGTATGTGTCACCGCTCCTCTGGGGCCACTCTGTACTGCTGCATAGTAATGTTACTGCCTTCTGTAGCACAAAGCATGTCACAATCTCCTGCTGTGTATTACAAGCAACAAGCAAGAAATATACAAAGATCCACAGAGCAGATGGAGCAGCTGCTTTTAGAATAAAAGGCCCGGAAACTTGCACCAGGATATATTAGTGCCAGCATGCTATCCTCACACTCGGAGAGGGGGAGAGAGTGGATGCTGAAGCCACTTAAGCCTCCCATGAGAATCTTGTGCCACTGCATGCTTTCTCCTCCACTACTGGCCACCGCTGTCTCTCAGCATAGTGCGTATCCATCTGTCTCCAAGCCTCTCAGAGCAGATCAGTCTCCCTTTGCTGCTTCAGCTCCTGGCTGCTTTGCTCACCATTCCACCATTTGTTACTTACTTGTATTATGTCTTTCATCCTACATTTCCAATCCTCTCTCATTTCTTCATCCATTTTCTCCTTTTTCCCTCTTCCTCACTCTTCTTTCTTTGTGGTCTCATCCCATGTTGAACTTCCCCCAGTTTTCATGTCCTATCATCTCCCTCCTCCATCACATCTTGTTCTCTTGTGGCAGCTCCACCTCCTCCCTCCTTCCCACTCTTGCCTTACTCACTGGCAGAGGTGGAGGAGGATGAGATGTGAGCTGAGTTAGAGGTGACTGAGGCAACCAGCAAAAGTCGGAGTGAAGGAGGGTTGTGAAGGCAGAGAAATCTAGGGATGTGTTCAGAAGGAATGAGATTGAGTCATACTGGGTGAAGTTCAATGAAAGAGTAAAAAACAGTCATAACAGAGTGATAGAAAGATATTGAATGATTCCAGATGGAGGTGTGATGCAGACCTGTAGAGGCTAATGTGAATGCATGTCGACAAACAGGGCTAAGAGGGGCCGACAGGCGTGAAATGGCCAGCACCTGCTACATTGCAGGATCCCCACTCCCCTCTACCCCACAGCTGCATGACACACACGTACGTCTACACACTAGTGTGTGGCAGTGCCAGTAAATGCTGGTGTCCTCTGCACTCCGTCTTGTCCTGTGAACCAGGAGGCAGAGAGAGAAATGAATGTCCTCTCTTCACCTTGCCTCTGCTTCTCTCATCTTCGATACTGCTGCTTAGTCGCTCCCTGCTCTCCCCTCGTCTTTCTTTCGATTTATCTCTCCCTCACTATCTCCTTTGCTGCAGTTCGCTCTTTTTATTGCATCTCTCATGCTCTTAGTTAGCATATGCACCTCCTCATCCTTCTTATCTCTCTGAGGTTGTCTTTCAGCCGCCGCAAAGTCTGGGTCTGATCTCCCTGCAAAGAGAAGGGCCTCCAGCCCCCAGCATTCTCTCTCTTTCCTTCTCAGGCCCATCCTATCTCCCTCTGTCTCTGAGCTTAACTCTTAAATACCAGTAGGTCTTTCTTAACCACAGCTTAATAGTCTCTATACCTCATCCCAGGCTCTTCTCGGGGGGCTCTGGTGTTGCTAACTTAGGTTCTATCCATTTGCTCCTCCACCACCACCTCCTCTCCATCCATATTTCACCTATCATTCTTTAAAGGGGTGGCTCAGCAGAAACTCAAAACATTAAATGCAACCGAATGAATCCCTCACATGGTCTGAGGGGCTCTTTAGTTCAACAGAAAATTCTTCTCAATTCAGTGCTTTCTCTCCATTTTCGAACTCGTCTGAGGAGACGCTTCAAGGGCAAGGAGCTGTCATTTTCCTCCACTGGTTGTACATGTGTGTCCGTCTGTTGGTGTGTGTCTTCAGCCATGCGAAAATAGCCAGAGAGTAGGTCTGATGGAGCCAAGTCTCCCTCCAGCCTACAACTGGCCCCCTGCCCACCGCTCATTAGCACACACTCTATCTCTCTCTCTCTTTCTCACACACACACACACACACACTGTGTTTTCATTCATTGTGGGGACTTTACATTGACCTACATTCATTTCCTATCGACTTATCCTAACCTTAACCATAACCACTAGTTGCCTAACACCTAACCCTGACCCTAACACTTAACCCTAAACCATGTTGCCACCCTAAAATTCAGTGAGGGTTGAGTCCCCTTAATGTGAGTGTGTTAACAGGTGCACATTTGTGCACACATCCACATAGCTCTGTTCAGCAGCTTAACATGCTGACTGAGAACACTACTAAGCTATGCTCTAGGTGCAGCCCAGCTCAGCATCAGACCACTGATGACCATGATGGTGTGTGTGTGTGTGTGTGTCCATGCATGATTTTTGAGAGGGTGCAGTAGATGTTACTTCTGCACCATCTCTCCCATTAATTGTGGTCACTTGGAGCTTACCATCATGAAACATGCTGTCTTTTGGATTCCACAGTATGGGCTGTGTATGCTGCTGGCTCATCCAGCAGCATATGTTCATAAGATGTCCTCTACTCACCCACTTAAATAAATTCTACTGCTGCTTTGTTAGGACCTGTCTGGGTGTGTAGTGGGCCTGTACTGGGAGCCTGGGATGACTACTTTACATCTCTCTTGAATGTTTTAAGCGTTGTCCCCAGAAGGATGGAATAAAACATGAATTATCATCTCCAGAAGGATTGACCCACACAGACCTTGAGAGAGAGACTTATGAATTCACTTGAGCAAATTTTTAACAATTAATTGTATGATTGGAATTTAGGGAGAATTTGCATTGAAATTCTGGTGTAATTTAATGACAGCAATGTGGGGCAGCAACCAGCCACACTGAGTTTGCACAGAGATTGTTGCCACATTGCATCTGCGAGAGCTGCACTGAGCCCGAAGTGATAACGCATTTTTTGTGTTCTTGTTAGAAGTGGACACTGAGGGCTAGCTCACACACTCATGTATGTGAACAGGAATGTTTAACACCGCTTGTGGGAGGATAGGAGAGGAGTTAGACAGTGTGCATGGGGAAAACTGGTGAGGAAATTGAAAAAAGGAAGGGAAAATGGACTCACATCAAAGTATTTTTCCCCTAGAGTGTATGTTGAAAGTGACGCACAGTGGAGGAAAGCAGGGAGAAGTAACATATGACAGAAATACAAATGCAAATTGGAGAGAGAATTGCAGGGAAAATGGATTTAGAGGAGGTCGAACGAGTGTGTGCAGGAGACAGCTGGTGAAGTGGAGGCAGAGATGGAGAACTGGCTAGTAGAGACAGGAATAAAAAGGGAGAGAAGAGCAGAGCACAGATGCAGGCGGCAGTAGATTACCATTTTTTCTGTTGACAAGAATCAGTGTAATTCTGTCAGCTCTCTGTACACTTAACAAGAGGGGCTGGCTTCTGTTTTTACTTGAAACTGGAATGACGAAAATTGGTCTACTTTCAAATTTAGGCAGGGATTTAATCCTCTGCAGCAGTCAGTGAAAGTGCAGAGAGCGGAAAGGAAAGCCGGAGCAACAGAGAAGGATGTTCAGCTTAACTCAGGGTTCTTGATCACGTTCAACCAGGGATGAAAATTAAAAATTCATGTGATCACTTCAGCTTCTTTGGTTTTATTGTGTAGCTCATCTGCTCGAACCTGAAGGGAAGCACACTTAAGACTAATAGATAGTAGATGAACTTTATTTTATAAGATGACGTTCCTGCGTTAATGTCTTCTTCAGGGATCGAAAAAGTAACAGAGGATCTTTTCTGTTGCTTCTGGGGTATCCAAATGTACAGACTTATTCAAGTAGTGTACATTAAATAAAAAATACATACAACTCATAAGCCCCAAACTTGAATGCTTTGAACCTTGTTCAAGTGGGTACAATAAAAACACTGGGACATCAGTTTTCCTTTCTACAAAAAGTAGGCTTTCTCTTTAAATTTGCCTAGTTTAAAAGGAGGTGCGTTGTTGCAGAAACAGCTTGTGGAATAAAGCCTAATGTGCATGCAAATGTGAATGGTATACAACACAGGCGGAGACGGCCCTTAACTCTGGCATCGTTAGTGTACATCTCCTTGTCCAGAGTTGTACAGTTGATGATGACCACATGGGTGAAATACTCAGTGTCTGTCTGTGGGGAGTTGTCACAGTCCTAGAAAGCACTTTGAGCTTGTGCAAAGCAGTTGCACTCATTTGTGTTTCCAACGGCTTTACTCACTAATGGGCCTGGTATCAAACCTCAGTACGTTTTGAATGCTGACTGAAATGTGTCCATAGTACCAGGTGCTGAAAGCTGGCGTGGAATGCTTTGTCAGATGTGGGGTTTCCTTAATTTTTTATGTATTTTCTGATTGAAATCACAATTTTCCAGTATTTTTTTAAACCAAAGTTCTATACAGCTAGCTGTAAAGTCTGATTTAGATAAACAGGAGAAAATGATCTTCTAGAAAAAGGGGTTTATTTTCCGAGAGGTAAAGAATCCAATGTGTTGAGCTGTTATTGGTACTGATCTTTCATTATATTTTTGCCACTGTAAATCAGAACATTTCATACAGTCTTGGTCTTAACTGGCCTTTGTCCTCCACTGCAAGTGCAGTTGTATCTTTTGTTGTTCAAACTCCAGATTGAAGATAACGCTCTAATATCACTGCAGAAGAACATCAAGGGAGTGATAGAGTGAGTTCAGAGAAAGAGCACTATACAGATAACAAATTCATGTGGGATGTCTTTATAACCTTTATTTAGACACCACTACTTGTCTCTTGAGTTTTATACACAGACCCAGAAACGGAAATACTGTGTGTTGGACGATAGGTATTTGTACCCTGCTTTTACCCACTTTGCACTCTAACAAAACCTTAACTTAAAAAGGCTTCTTTTATGCAAATGTCTAACATGGCAGTCTGGAGTTATTCAGCAGGGCTGGACAAAAAAAATGGACAAATGTATAGAACTGACATGTGCTCAAGCAGTGCCTGTGGTTTACAGAAGTGGAGAGTGGTGCCAATCTGCCCCCCCTTGTTTCTGACTGCCACAAGGAGTTGTCAGTCCGCTCTGTCAGTTTGTCATTCACTCAATCAGCCGCCTGCTCCTCCACCACCACCTCCTCTCCTTCATCCAATTTTCACCCTCCACTCTTCCATCTATCTTTATTCTCCTCCTCTGTATTGCCTCCACCTGCTCCACCCTGCACACGCCATGCTTCTCTCCTTCAGAAAGTGTGTGTGTGTGTGTGTGTGTGTGTGTGTGTGTGTGCGTGCGCGGCTTGCACTCCCTCACCCCTGCCTTGTGATTTGTGGGGAGCCTTGGACAGACCCTAGTTGTTGAAGGGCAACACAGGGAAATGTGTTGTTGTGACGTATCTGTGGGACTGGGGACAGGAGCAGCTCAGAGGGAGAGGAAATGTCAGTGCAGCAGAAACCTCGGCACACACACTTGACTGTACTAACACCTCAGTACTGTTACACACGACTGAATACAGTTCATACCAGCACCACTGACATCATCCAACCTCTTGGTACTACCCTTTACTGCTTCTCGTTTTTATGCTGTCTCTTCTTCTTCCTCTTTTTTCCCTGTCTTCACGTTTCACGCTGTTCCTCTTCCTTTTTTCAACCATGTTCCTTTTCTTCTTTTTCTCCCTCCCTGCCTCTCTTCCTTCCTACAGAGCCCCCAGTGAATCCATCCAATGCTGGCATGGTGGCAGGAGCTGTGATTGGCTCCCTGCTGGCCCTCCTTTTGGTCGCCACTCTCATCTTCGTGCTTGTCACTCGTAGCCGCAGGCACCAGCAGGGTTACCGTGCCAATGGCGGGAGTGACATGAAGACACGCATATTTGGTGGCGGCAAGAATGGCACAGGCGGAGCTGCGGGCAGCGGCGGAGGTGGTAACAATAATGGCCCCATCTACGTTTACAACGAGAGCTCATCCCACCAGGGCCTCGGAGAGAAAAACAACCACCACCAGCCATTCAACATGGGGGGGCGTCCTGAAGTTGTCACCACTACACCCACCGCCCAAGACATCCTGTTAAGCAATGAATTAGATGATGCAGAGAAAAGGAAGTTTGATGAGCTGGAGGAGGAGGAGAGATACGACCACTTCTCTGGAGGGGCCCCCATCCTTCAGCTTCGTCCACCCCATGACCAGAGCGATATGATTGGAGATTACCTGGATGATGACATGGAATCCCAGAGGGATGGCTCTGTCATCTCGCGGACTGCAGTTTATGTATAGAGGAGGAGAGAAAAGGAGGGATGGAAGATTCCTTCCAAGGATTTTGTGGCTCTAGAGTCTTGTCCCCTGTCTGATAGAGGAGAGAAAATAATACCACTTTTATTTTTAAAGATTTATTTTAAATATAGCCTATTATTATTCATATTGCAGCCCCAGAATGAACCGAATGATTGGGAGGATGTGGTGGGGGGGAGGGTTGGTTCTGAAAGATGTGTTGCTGTTTTCTGGTCCCTCAGAGCTGAAAGTCAAATGGAGAAAAGAAACAACCTATCTTCCACCTCTTCTTCTCATGCTGTTGGTATCACTGGGACATTGACAAGGACTCTTGACAGACAGACTGAAAGAGAGAAACTATGTATAGTGGAAGTAGGATGATGGAATCATGATACAAGCATGGTGTTAGAGGAGGTATCGCACTTGCATATTCACTCTTATCTGTACCAAAACAGTTGAAGTGGAAGGGATTGTCAAGCAGTTATGTTTTTCCTGCTATTCTCAGTCGCCCTGTGAGGAAACCTTTTGTTTTGGCGTTGGCATTGTGTTGTGACAGCTGCTGGGTAGTTAGTAGCTAGTGATGGGTTGGGGGGAAAACATTTGGAGATCTAGATAGGTGATTTAGAAAACAGAACAATGCATTTGCTCATGTTTGCCAGAGAGTTCTCCTTTCTGCTCTCTCTCTGCCTTCTTCTCGTCTTTGCAAAACCATTAGCTGCAGGAGACACTTAAAAATTTACAAAACTTTACAAAATAATGGGTCCTTAAATACTAGAGCATCTGATTTTAAAGAAAGTTTGCAGAGAATTTGAACCAAGTTCTTAATGAGATTTAACATGCAAACTTTTGTACTGTGCCTGGAGGTAAGAGGCGGTAAACAAGGGTATGGGATGAGGTGTAGCTGATCTGACAGGGTCAAGGGATGAAGAGAGAGATGCAGGAGGACAAGAGAGGAGCACGTCTCTTCTGTTCTCTTCCTCCTCATCCCCATGATTTCAGAGCACTCCTGACAGGAGGAGCTTGATTGGTAATGAGCCGTGAAGTCGCTCACTTAGCCGGGACCAACAGATTGCCACCACTTAGCGCTTATGACGTAGCAGGTCCTCCTACCTCTATATTTCTATCTCTCCCTCCCTCCCTCCCTCTCTCACTCTTTACCTTGCTTTCCCAGTGTTTATGGTGAGTTTATGATTTAACCAGGGCAGTGTCAGGGCCACAGAGAGCAGGCACGTATTTTAGTGCTCCTGATGTGTCAAATGCTCCACTTATTCTGCTCCAACCTGGCTTGCCCTCACATGCCAGGACCAACTAATCCACTTGGGGTGACCACGTTCATTCAACCGCACAGACTCACTATTGCCTCCTCCCATGCTTTAGTAAATAGTCGGATGTAACATAACCCCACCTCCACAGTACAACCACATTAGAGCAGAGAGATTTTCGGTAGGATCATGTAATATTTTCTTCCATTATTGGATATTTTTAAGTGTAGCAAATTGATCAAGAGAGGCTGCATCCACAGTGAAGCTATGGGAATCATACTGGCTAACAAGGAACAAGCTGTGAAATCACCTTTTATGTTGCAGCTTCAGGGCTGATTGTCTCCTGGCTGTTAATTCAGCCTTCTAACGAGCCACCGGAGGCCCAATCAGGCAAATACTACTCCATGGCTACTGTACACTGCTGCCTTTGTGGCCCAGTGTGTACATTTGCATGTGTCACTATATTTACATAACCCCTGCATGACTGTGATGGACAACATTGGAGAGCAGTCCTGCTGTAGCTCTAATCACGCTTTTCATGGCCTTCGAATCAGCTCCCCTTTGGGAATCTGGTGGGAGTGGTTTCAGTGACTGCACTGACCTCCTGTAAGGCCCGGCTATGATCTGGGTTGCAGGTTATGAGATCAAAAGAGTGACCCGTTGCCAAGGGCGGGGGTGACTTCACTTGCTTGCATTTCATATCTTGGGTATTTTTAACCTTGAACTACAGGTGAAAGAAAAACTTGCATACAGTACAGGTATCTGTATAAAGGTAGACCATCCTTGTATGTCTTTGTGAAGGCTGCTAACCCTTGGAGAAACTGAGAGAACAGGAGAAGGTACAGCCCGGGGTACAGTAAATTTATTGAACACACATGATTTGTCACAACTGCTCAGAACAAAAAAGTATTACTTATTTTTGCACATGTGTGTGTCACCACTACAAAGAGAAATTAGTGTAATATTTGCTTTTTGGAGTTAAAAAAATAGCCACAACGGACAAAACTGTATGTAAATTTTGGTGTGAGGTGTCTGTGTACTATCTATGTAAGCATCTTTATTTTTCTTGTGAAAATGTGGATATTTATGAAAATGTAAATATCAGATTGATGGAGCCAATGTTGTGGCAGTAGAGATGCAGGCACTGGGTAAAGTTTAAAGGCATCAGAATGTAATTTTTAATCTAATGAATACCTCAGTAGTTTGGGTGTTTCAACATACTGAACTGACTGAGCTTCATTTACCTAAAGCCTAAGAGCTGATTTGTATTGAAGGAGAAACTATATATGCTTGTATAATTATTTTTTTTTTGTTCATTAGCATTGCCTGCATTTCCACATAATGAACACAGTTTTTTGCACAATTGGCTTCTCCTTCAGTGACAGCTTGCACAATGCAAAAATACACACAGTACTCGTAATTTATCAGGTAGAGTGTAACCACACAGCCTGTGTTGTGTTGTGTGTCTGTGCTGTGTCTGAGTCAGCTCTGTGTGTGTGTATATAGTTGTGTCAGTGTGTATTTTTGTGATGCTAGAGGGCTTTTTGACATCTCTTCCTGCCACTGGGGCTGTAACCCGAGTAGCCGCTCTTTGTCACCATGAAAAACTGGCAAACTGAAGATATTAGTGTGAATTATGCACACACACACACACACACACACACACACTGTACATATACAGTACATACACAGAATGTAGAGAAACATTCGCCCACACATCAACACCCCTCAGTCACTCTCATTATGCTCACTCCCACAGTCAAACTGTGCAGAAGACATCTCATACCTGACAACTCTGCCATCTCCTAGCACAAGCCCACTCAAATGCACTCGCATACTGTAACTGCGCGTACACACACACATGAAACACTTGTTCTTTATCCTGTTCTTGCTCAGTGGCTCTGTCAGGACATATACCATGTCCTGCTAGTGTGGTAAGAGCTGCAGCACGATGTGTCCCCTGCTCCAGTTCTTCTTTCTCTCCCCCGTATAGTCAGCCCATTCCCAAATCAGTGACCATGTTAGAGCAAAGACAACCCCACATTCAGGGACACACACACTTCACACAGTGTCAGAAAAACAGGTTTTTTAGGAAATTGTTTGTCCAACCCTTTTATGTTTTACACAGAAAATAGAAATGATACCGCGCTGCCCTTCTCCCCCCTCCGGGATCCCTTTGAATGCTTTTAGAGAGTCACAACTTCCTACTCGTCTCCAAAATGTTGTTTTCGACTTCTCTCGCTCCAGCCACCTCCACCGCCTCCACAGACACACACACCATTGCCACTTACCTCGGCACCCAACTAAAGCTTTTCAGACAAAATGCTTTCAGAGAAATTCACAGTTGAGGCCCAGGTCTAGCACAAGGTTAGATAGTCAAAATATTCAATATTTTTCTTTTTCCAGAAATCCATGTACTGTTGCTATTTCTTCAGCTCCACCTAATCAAAGCCTTAACATCTTCATCTCGCTTACATAAAAGATAAAAGAAGAGAAAATCTCCCAGTGTACATAGTATAAATATAAATATCTAGCAGGAAAAAAAAAAACTAATTTATGGTGTCACATTTGTGTATTTCCCTGTGACAGCAAGCATGAAGGATTTATTTTCTCCTACTCCAGCTTCTCCTCTTTTGTTATTTTGCAGTGCTTTATAATTTGTTTGAGTGCTTTATTCTTGACTGCTGCGCTGTGATTGCCACCTAAAACTGGCAGATGTGCTTCTTCTATACAAATTAACTGTACACACTGCAAAACAGTCTTACCCCAAAATGTGCTTTTATTATTGACTGTACTGTGTAAAAGTTTTTTTTTATTTGTATTTTTAATTTTTAATTTAGTTTGGTTTTTGAAAATTCAAACTGAATTAGAATTGTTGTCACCTTTTTGTCTTTCTATATATATTTTTCATATTTGTTGCTATTAAAGCTTTATTGATTTTTTTTTAAGTGTTCCTGTGTTTATGTGTCGTATCTGTTTCTCCTCGCCTTCTCTCTCTTTAACACTCACGGTTAGCCCAGGTGACTGAAGAGCCAGATTGGGTAGAAGCACCAATCATTGATTCTCACTGATTAGATTTATAGATTAATTGATCTGGATATAAAATGGTCTCTTTCTCGTCACCCACTCTTCACACTAGTTTTGCTAAATCTGTGTGTCAATAGAGGTGCCATAACAGCCATATGGGAAACTGAGGAGAAGCCATTTTGTGGATTATAGTTGTCTTGTACTGTAGCTCCACCTCCTCCCAGTTGTACATATGTCATGGTTGAAGTAAACTTGCTGCCTTGGTAACAGGTGTGTAGGAGACTGCTGTAGTTCTTTAAAGGGCACATATTTTCACCTGAGCATGTGGATAATTGACGACAATGTGTACATGTACTCTTATTTCAAGATGCATATATATTTATATATATATATATATATATATATATATATATATATATATAAAAATATGTGTGATGTGTGTGTGTGTGTATATATATATAATAACTAGATTCATTGGGCCCCACACCTGTGGCAAACGCGTACACACTAAGGAACTGAATTGAGGAATGTGGTGCTGTAGTTTCACTGGTTTTCCTGGAGGGAGGCAGTTTCTGTTTTCAGTTGGCGATTGTGCAGGCCAGGCTGAAACTCAATGAATGGAGCGCCCCTCAAAGGCTGCATTGTTTAAACTCAAACTGGTTTGGTAAAATTTTAACAAACTAGCATATTGAGGGTTGTCCGTGTATGTGTGTGTGGAGGTTTAGTACAACTGTTCAGGCATGTGCGTGTTCATGTGTGAACCTGGTTTATTTGGGTTGCATACAATCCCTTCATGTGTCCCCAACAAACAATACATTCAAGCTCTGCTTCTAACAGAACCATGATGGAGACAGTTGGCTTATGGCAGCATATCGTGTATCTCTGTGTCATCCTGGCTCCTTGTCACAGTTCGGTTTTGTTGCAGGCTTCTTCTGTCGATGCACAGTTATTTACTGAGAGTCCAGCCCACCATCTGGCCTCTCTAATTGCTTTGGATTTGAAGCTGGGAAGATAAAGAGCACTTATACACACAGGCACATTCTGACTCCTTTGGTTTTCTCGCTGAATCTAACGGACTCGAGCACGGCAGAAAGGCTTTTAAGCTGTGGATAGGAATAAAAGCTTGTGGTACACTTGTATTTTTGACTGCATTTGTCACAAAAGCAGGTACCCACCTCATGTGAAGGCAGTGACCCCGTAATGCAGAACCTGGCCTATTTTAGCTCTGAACAAATAACCTGGATCTGAAGCCAAAGTGACAGCAGCTACGCCAAAGCGTTACCACTCTGTTCAACATTAGTTTGCAGTGATGAGATATGGTGTGGTGCCCTTGGGCAACTGGCTAGCTGCTAGTGGCCTGTTTATATCAAGCTGTGCGTGTGCATAGATGTGTATTAGACAGAGAGTGAGTGTGGTGTTCTGGGATACAGCGTGCTAAAGAAATATGTTCATGTGTTTAGGCACCCGTCGAGTGCTTTGCCAAGTTACAGACAGATCGGATTTTCTCAGAACTTATGCATATGTAAGTGTTTTTGGACTTTTGTGTTATTAGAATGTTTGGTGTGTGTGTGTATATATGTATGTTAGTGCAACCATGTGAAGAGTGTGTGTCTGTGTGTAGTGTTTCACACACGCATGTTTGTGCATGGCTGAATATTTAACTTCCTGCTCTGGCAGCTACAGCCGCAGTGTTGATTAAACATCTGATTGTGTGTCTGTGTTTGTGTGGATTAGCACACAGACCCACTTTAGGCTATCTTTGCTGGTAACTGCCAACACAATGCTCTTCATTTAACCCCTCACCTTTTGGCTCCAGACTTGACTAAAACATCCCAGAGTGAATGATGAATGATGACTTGGGCCTTCACAGGGATTAAAACAAACGTCTGGCTTTGACTTCAGTTATGAAGGTAGATTTGTGCATATTTTTATTGGCTTTAAAGTGACTGGCCTTTCTATTCCGTTCCTGTGACTATTTATCAGATCTCCAGCTGTGTGTGTCATGGAGGAATATTTGTGTCAAAGTCTATCTTTTAACTGGCTAATTATTAACAAACAGTGATATGTTTCTCATTACTTTGGTTCCAGCACACTGGATTTGACTGATGGCTCCTAGGATAGTACATAGTTGTCCAGTTTTCAGAGAGCATGGAGTCAAGGTCATTAAGAATATTTTATGGTCAAACTGTGGAATGTTCTTCACTGTTCAGTCATCTGATCTCAGTCCAGTCTGTGTTTCATTTCCTGAAGACTAGACTGAAGAGCCCCTGGGAAAAGCAAGGCATGAAGATGGTTGTACAACAGTCTTGACTGTACAGCACAATGGGAGATGCACCAACTATTAAGTGATGTCTGAGTTTCAACACATCCAGTTGCTTTCATTCCCTTTGTACTGTATAACAAGGTTAAGAGTCTAGAGCCACACTAGCTGTACTGAGGCTGCACTTTGGCATAGTACATTTAATGTGGTAACAATTGCTAACTAATTAGTTGAGGCTAATGGAAAAGTTATTAATTTTGTAGGCATTTGGTTATAAACCACTGCATTGGTCAGAGGAAATGTTTGGCCTGATGAAGGTGCTAGATTGAAAGTGTAGGGGTCACCTAAATTATTGGAATTCATCCTGAGGTAGGACATAAATGTATGGACCAGATTTAATGACAGCTGACTGAATAGTTGCTGGGACATTTCACTCAAAACCAAATGTGGACCCTCATTGTGGCATTAAAAAAATATTCACTCACTAGTGTCATAAGTCATGTCTGACCAAACTTTCCTGTGTAATAGGTATTGCTATACTTTAACCTGGACTAAACCAGAAGGGACAGACATGTGTTACACATTACATAGGTATGTGGCAGAATGGGAGAAAGTGTGGCTCAGGAGGTAGAGCAAGTCGTCCCCTAACCTTAGACTCAGCGGTTTGATCCCCGGCTTCTCCAGCCCACATGTCAAAATGTCCTTGAGCGAGATGCTGAACTTCTACTTGCTCTTGGTGTGTTATCGCCGGTGTGTCAATGGGACATAGTGTAAAGCACTTTGAGTGTGGTTCTCAACATGTAGAATGAATGTGTTCCTCTGGTGCTGATTTAAAAACCCTCAAATTACAGATGTAAATCAGTCCCTCAGCCTCATCATAATCGCTGTACGCTAAACAAGACATTGTGTCATTGTCTGAATCATATGACGTCTATGGTCTTGATACTTTCTGTGCTGTATTTCATACCCATTTTTGTTACTTTCATTTCCACACTCCATTATTTTATTGAAATCAGTATGTTCTTCTAAAGCTCTCCCGTGGAGCCTTTAATTTCACACTGTCTGGGCCAGTTTGTATCAAATTTGGGCTTGTTGACAATTTGTAAGTCAGTAGTCGAGACCATTGTGTTTTCTGGGTGGTTTGTGAATGCTAAACCTTTCTTAAGGTACTTCTCAGTGGCACAGGCTATAGTGTCATTAGTACTTTTGTTTGTATTGTGGTAAGGATTAAAAGTATTGTATCTGCTCTAATGTACTATCTTCGCTTTGTTTGTTTACTCTTATCAAGTTTGTTTTGGGAGTGCTAAAAAGGCAGCAGCTTCAGGTAACAACCACTCATTCAGTATTCACCCTGGAAACAGGCACTGAGGTATTACCCAAGATGTTAATGAAATGCAAATGAAAGCAATAGTTCTTTCACACCTTCATACATACAAAAAATGTCATGTCAAAGAATCCTGGGCAGGATTGATTGACAGCATCAATTTCAACAAAAATGTCCCAAGGCAAAACCTTCCTGTTGAAGTAATGAACTTGTGGTGTTTTTTTTTTTTTTTGTTTTTTTGCTTTTGTTTCAATTTTTTTTTTGTTTGTTTGTTTTTTTGAATGGGAGACAGCTTTAAAATGATCTGACTGGGAGATATATTTCCTCTAATGGAGTATTGTTATCACAGGTGAATGCAAAGTGCAGAGGAAGCTACATTTGTAAATAATTACATGAAATCGGAAATCGTATCATTCCTCTTCCTCGAGCGGTAAACAACATCTGATCTTCTGGCTTCAGGTCATTCAGTTTTGTTCTGATGTGTGTCTGCTGCACACACGCTCATATACAGTAAATACACACCAGGCAGGCAAGCAAAGGGAAGTGGATGCTCCTGTTTTCCCCTGGAGATCCCTAGACATTTTCTTTTTCCTGTCTTGTGCTGACGGGGCTGGAGGTAACATGGTGGTTGCAGTACATTATTGAGTGGGTGAAGCACATCTTTCCTGGGGTTGCACATGCCTGGCCAACTGCTGGGAGGCCTGAGAATGGCAGGGAGAGAGTGAGGGAAGGTAAAGGTGATAGTGTGTGGAAGAGTAAAGAGGAGGTGGAGGGGTGAGATCTGAGGCCACGTGTATTGGGAGAAGCTACAGCGAGCTAGTCGCTATATACATTGAGCACTGACTAGAAGCAAGACTGAATAAAAGGAGAAGACGGGTCAAGGAAGACAGAGACCACAAGGGAAAAAAGCACAGCAAACTGCTGAGTGAATAGGGCAGGGGCATGAGAGCTGGATCACTGCAGCTCTGTTAGTTTTGCCACTGTGTATGTGTGATGGAGAGAGGGAAAGAAGCTTTGACATCCTCAGAAAGCCACTGACCTCGACATACCTACACAAACACCCACCACCAGATGGAAGATGTAGTATGTGTGCATACGTATTTGTGAGTTAAGTCCTCAAACGATCTTCATGAGGTGACTTACCTGGAATAGATCCTGTTCTAGAAAATAAAAAACAGAGAACATTATTTGAATGCAGTATGACCACCAGAGAGTGCAGCTTTGAGATAAGTCTGCACGTGCCTGGTTGTGTATGTGCATGACTGTGTGGGTATGAATAAAAGAGATTTATATCAGGGAAAGAATAGTTTGTTGCTGCTCCTAAGAATAGATTCTGTGATGGAAATGATTTTGATGCGGTATACAAGCCTCTGTGCGTGTCTCATTTTATGTGTATTTGCCCTGGAGTGCTTTGCAGATCAAATGCACTTGTTTAATTCACCATCTCAACAAGCAGTGCATGCATGCACTGGCACATGCACATCTGCATACACTGAGATATAAACATACAGAATGAGAAATGGATATGAAGATATAAATGAAATAAGTCTGCACATATTTGGTTAAGAGAGTAGAGTAGGGACTGCCAAGTACATGGTAAATAGTGGATGATTGTGTTCAAGATCACTCGTGCATGTAACTGCTGTGCAGATGTTTGCCTGCCTGACAGTATGGAATGTGCATGCAAATGTATGGGGTTTTTTTTGTTTGGTTTTTTTTACATCTGGGAGTTTATCACTGAATCTGAATCAGAATCA